GGGGGGTGATCCGGGGAATCATTTGTGAAGCAGCGTGGTGAAATCAGGCGCTCGTCAAAATAATGAAATTGAAGTAACTGGCATTTTTCTGCCACTTTGGCAAATTTTACCAATTTTTTGGCTTTCGGCTGGACACAATTTTTGTCTAATTAAAAACATATTTCTAGGTGGATTTTAGGGGAAAATATTGATTAAAGGCATAAATGATGTAAGTTTTCAGTTTCCACAGACTATCAAGCTATGGAAATAACCAAACTTTGGCGGCCATTTTCTCGTTAAATTTACCTCTGAAACCAGGCGACCCCACCTTGTTTGATCTCAAATATCTCGACTTCTATTCAAGATAGATGGGTATTTTTTTTCACCCATAGCAAAACAACTGAAAAAGCTTTAAGATGATACCAATACCTCCACATGGCCAAAAACTGACGAGCGCCTGATTTCACCACGTCGTGACTCAATTCTCCCCTCGTACAGGAGGCTGGCTGGCTTTTGTTTGCCGCTTGTTTTGTCAGCGACATGGGGAAAGGTCGTCCTATTTATCGTTTCCCGATGTCTCACATTGTCATTTCGTGAGTGCGGATCTAGTGGCAGTTTGCCCAGGCTAATCTCTTTCCGATAGCTCGACTCTATTTTAGTTAGTTTTAATAAGTGTTTTACGGCACTTGTAACGCAATAAGGTCATATAAGATTAGAGGTGTTACAAGAGAGTAACAAACCTAAAAAAGAAGGAGGAGAGATAAAGACGGTAGATGTTTGATAGGAAAGAAGGAGCAGACCACACCAGAGCCCCCGCCAACCACCCACTGGCTGGTTTTTGTGGTCGCTTGTTTTGTCAGCGACGCGGGAAAAGGTCGTCCTCTTTGTTGTGTCTCTGTGTCTCGCTGTCATTTCGTGAGTGCGGATTCGGTGAAAGTTTGCCAGGCACAGAGACACAATTATCATTATTATTATTATTATTATTATTATTATTATTATTATTTTTATTTTTATCATCATTATCGTTATCATTTTTATTAGTATTATTTTCTTTATTATTATCACCACTGTTATTATTATCTTTATCAGTTAATTGTATAAGCAGTATAATGTAATACAGGGGTTTTTTTTCCATAGTTTTCCTTCCTAGCAATGTAGGCGTCGTACGTTTTGTTCTGACACAAACCTTCATTGGTCTACAAACTACGCACTTACACTACCATGGGGTTTTTTTGTTGGTTGTTTTTTTGTTTTTTTTTGGGGGGGGGGTTGTTTGGGTTTTTTGTTGGGGGGGGCGGATGTCTTTTCATGATTTCGCAATATCGTTCTGAAAGTGAAAACCGGCTATCTGTAGGAGCTCACACGCGAACGTGCCTCGCTGCAGTGCCTAAGCTCTTGCATACGCCCTCACACACACACACCCACATGTCTCATATGACCTTATGCAGTTGCGAGCGCCGTAAAACCCGTACGAAACACCCCCGCGCTAA